ACTTGGTAGCCCAGGCTGGCCTCGAACTCACAGAGATCCGCCTGGCTCTGCCTCCCGAGTGCTGGGATTAAAGGCGTGCACCACCGCCGCCCGGCCCGTACTTTTTTTTTTTTAAATTGATTTATTTATTATGTATACAGTGTTCTGCCTGCATGTATGCCTGCATGCCAGAAGAGGGCACCATATCTCATTATAGATGGTTGTGAGCCACCCTGTGGTTGCTGGGAATTGAACCCAGGACCTCTGGAAGAGCAGTCAGTGCTCTTAACCTCTGAGCCATCTCTCCAGCCCCGAATGTGTGTACTTTTAATGTTAGTTCATGCCATCCTTTTTTTTTTTCCCCTGTGTAGTGGAGGATGACCTTGAACTCCTAACCATCCTGTCCCCAACCTCTAGAGTTCTGGATTACAGGCAGGCATTTGCCGTACCCAGTTTATGTGATGTTAGGTATTGAATCTGGGGCTTCAGTGTCCTGTTCTTTTTCCTTAAGTCCTGCCAGCAGGATGCCAATAGCTTGTGTCTTTACAGCACCCTCCTTCCCCGACACACACACAGAGCTACAGTTTCTGCTAAAAACTCCACCCCCCACCCCCCCACCCCCGCAAGAAGGTCTTAGTATGGGGCTCTGTGGCCTAGAATTCTATGTAGATCAGGTTATCCTCAAACTCAAGAGCTCTACCTGCCTCTGCCTACCCAGTGCTGGGATTAAAGGTGTGTGCACCACTAAGTCTGCATATTTAAATTTTTTAAAAGTTGTATTATGTTAAGATTTGTGTGTGTGTGTCTGTGCACACACCACATGTACAGATGCCTGAAGAGGCCAGAAGAGGGTATCAGATCCCCTGGATCTGCAGTTGTAGGTGGTTCGGAGCTACCCAAGGATGCTGGGAAATAAACTCTGGTCCTCTGGAAGAGCAGGAAGTGCTCTTAACCACTGAACCTCTCCCAGACCTGTAACTGCGTCATGTGATTGAGCTCTGAGCAGTGGTGCCGCTGCCTCCCATCCAGGTGAAGTAATCTGTGAACCTCCCAACAACAAGCTGGACAAATTCAGTGGAACACTGTACTGGAAGGAAAACAAATTCCCCCTGAGCAACCAGAACATGCTGCTGCGCGGCTGTGTGCTGAGAAACACCGAGTGGTGCTTCGGGCTGGTCATCTTCGCAGGTGAGCCTCCCGGCGTCCCTCGGGGCGTGGGGCGGAACGATGGGGCTGGTCCTCCATGCGGGCGACAGCCTCTTCCCCGCCTCGTGCTTCTGTTCCAGTGGCACTCAGTTTGTTGATTTGGCTTCCCGTTATTGTCAAGGTCCTGACACCAAGCTGATGCAGAACAGTGGCAGGACGAAGTTCAAGAGAACGAGTATTGACCGTCTGATGAACACACTGGTCCTCTGGGTAAGCAGCCTTCCAGACGTTCTCCCAACGGGGCCTCGGCCTCCTCGGGTCTTCTCTGGGCAGCAGTCAGGCTTGGCTGCTCAGGGGCAGTGTTCATTTCAGATTCCTTTCAGACTTGGAAGATGTTATTTTTTATTTATTCATTTATTTATTTTTGGTTTTTCGAGATGGTTTCTCTGTGTAGCTTTGCGCCTTTCCTGGATCTGGCTTTGGAGACCAGGCTGGCCTCGAACTCACAGAGATCCACCTGCTGCCTCCCGAGTGCTGGGATTAAAGGTGTGCGCCACCACCGCCCGGCCGGAAGATGTTATTTTTCAAAGCCTTAGGACTGTGCCTGAATCAACAACTTAAAGTTAGAATACCCACCCCTTTTGTGGGCTTGGTCGTGATGGCATCTGAACGTGCATGTGACCTGTTAGCTTTTGCCAGGGACAGGGAGGTCTCCATGGGCATGGAGTCGGAGTTAAAAGAAAAATTTCCATGGGGAAGATGGTTAGCAGGATCCTTCCCCAACTTCTAAGGGAAAAGTTTTCTGTGCTTGTTTTGACAATTCCTGAGTCCTTCAGTTTGTCTGGAACTGGATTTCCGTCGGTTGCCTGCTCCCAATATGCCAGCTTGGGAAGCCTGAGGGCAGCCAGGGTTGAGTTTTCCTTGGCTTTAAAGGGTTTACAGAAACCCAGGCTGAAGTGGGGTTAATTCCTCAGACAAAGGCTCTTCCTGCCCCCTGGTGGCCACTCAGTAGGACGACACCTGCTTTTTGGAGCCACAACATAGGCGCAGTTTTGGAAGCAGTTGTTGGAAACGACAGTGATCGCCATTGTCCCCTCCCTGTCCTTTTTCTCGCTCAGATAAAGTCTTGATCTGTAGTTCAGACTGGTCTCGAACTCGGGGTCCTCCTAAACCGAGCCTGGGGGCTTACACCTGTAATCTCTGAATTTGGGGGGCTGAGGCGGGACTTGAAGTCCCAGGCTTGAAGCCAGACTTGTCTTAAAGCAAAAAAGTGAGAAAAGGCCTTAGGATGTAACTCAGTAGTAGATTGCCTAGCGTGCACAAAGCTCTGCGTTCAATTCCCAAGAAGGAAAAAAAGGCATTCTATACAATAAATACATTATGTGTGGGCTAGCACAGGCAGATAGGTTTTTTGTTTTTTTGTTTTTTGTTTTTTGTTTTTTTTTTTTGGTTTTTCAAGACAGGGTTTCTCTGTGTAGCTTTGTACCTTTTCTGGAACTCACTCTGTAGCCCAGGCTGGCCTCGAACTCACAGAGATCCACCTGCCTCTGCCTCCCGAGTGCTGGGATTAAAGGCGTGAGCCACTACCGCCTGGCCTCAGATAGGGTTTTAATTGTATCAAAAGTAGCTACCCTAGCTTCACCCTCTGAGGACTCCTGGGAGTTCCAGATTGGGAGCTACTTAATGTTTCAGCTTCCCTGTCATACGGAAGAGAGAGGACTGCATCCTGTGGTGGCGGATGAGCACCCGTCTTGGCCCTTACAGTAGAAAAGCGTGAAGGTTGCTTGAGCTTTGAAGGGCCCAACATGTCAGAAGAGCCTCTTCAGGGCGCACATGGCTTTGTGAGCTCGCTAAGTCCTGGCTTCTTCTGTGCTTTTCATTGCTTAGATTTTCGGATTCCTGGTCTGTATGGGAGTGATCCTGGCCATTGGCAATGCCATCTGGGAACACGAGGTTGGGACGCGCTTCCAGGTGTACCTGCCCTGGGACGAGGCGGTGGACAGTGCCTTCTTCTCTGGCTTCCTCTCCTTCTGGTCCTATATCATCATTCTCAACACCGTTGTGCCCATTTCACTCTATGTCAGGTATGTGCTTTCTCTGCCCTTGGCGCTCGCTCACTCTCCAGGGGGCCCCGCTGGTTTTTGGTGACTTCTCCAGGAACACGAAACCTTGACAAGGACTATGGAGTCCTCCCTATACTGTGACCATTTTATGTTACCTGTTTATTTGTGATCAGAGTTTCCTGACATTTGGATTATAGTGGGGTGGAAACTATTGATTTATTCAGCACCGCATGCTATTGCATGCCTATTCTGGGAAAGAAGGACAGAGATAAACAAAAAATTGATCTCCTTCCCTTGTGAAGCTTAAGTCTGATAGAAGAAGAAATCCCTGACCGTGTCACAGAACAGAAGCTGGTCTACCGTGAGTCTTCTGTGGAAAGCTGGGGCTGCTGGGCTCTGTAGGTCATCCCTGCCCTCCGAGTGGCAGACTGGCTGACCGGGGACTAGAACCAGTGCCAGCCCCTGAGGTAGCATGTGATAGGCACCAAGAACACTCTTCTTGAGGGCAGGAAGACCGTTGCTCCGAGCAGTTAGGCATCCGTCTCAGATGCAGAGAAGGCAGCTTGGGCGATGTTGGGGGAGGGCTGGGGAGGAGGGGAAGAGGCCGGGAACAGGGACAGGCAGATGAGAAGCTGGGATGGTGTAGGAGCAGTTAGGAGCTTCAGCCATGAGCAAGGAGCTCTGGGGGAGAGGTCTGGACACAAGCTTCCTCTAGATCGTTAAGGGTCTTCGCTCTTTGTCCGTGGGCCTTCAGGAATGGTTTTTGAAAACCTGAAGGCTATGATCTAAGAGTCTTGAGTGCTTTAGCAGTCGTTGGCTGGCTGTGGTGTGTAGCATGTGTGGGACATTGAAAGTAAGGAGAATGTGACACAGAGGCCAGTGAGGACAAAGGAAGGAGGAGGAGGAGGAGGAGGAAAAAAGAATCCAGAGGAGTCTTTCCTACACAGTGCCTGCATTGGTGATAAGGGAGCCTGTGACTTTTTGTTGTTGAATCTGTTACTATGTATCCCATGCCATTTTAGAGCTGGTGATCCTCCTGCCTCAGCCTCTCTATTGCTGGGTTTGTAGGTCTGTACTGTCATACCAGGCTCAGCCTGTGGCAGTTTTTTGTTTTGTTTTGTTTTGTTTTTCGAGACAGGGTTTCTCCGTGTAGTTCTGGTGCCTGTCCTGAATCTCGCTCTGTAGACCAGGTTGGCCTCGAACTCACAGAGATCCACTTGGCTCTGCCTCCCGAGTGCTGGGATTAAAGGCGTGCGCCACCACCGCCCGTCACCTGTGGCAGTTTTAAGGACGGCAGTTTAGAGAGTTGCTCAGAACTCTTCCTAGCTTTCATTTTAGTTAACAAAATGCCCCAAACTGCTCAGCTCTCCTCACCGGCCAAATCCTTGTGATGCTGACTGAAAAAATGAAGGGCTTCTGAGTATCCGGTGTGGGCCTTTCTAGAGCAGGTGGGAGGGCGTCAGAGGGTCAGGGTTGACTGCTGCCTACTGTTAGCCACGTGACCTCAGGCTCGCACAGTCACTTCGGGCCTCACATGCTGTCTCTTTTCCCTTCCTTCCCACGTGAAACCTGTGTCCTTCTCTTCATAAGAAAAGGCGTTTTGATAGACACTGAATTGGAAAATACACATACAAAGTTAAGTTCCCGGGTCAGTCTGGCCTGGTGCCTCATGCCTGCATTCACAGCACATGGGAAGGCTGAGGTCGGCCTTGGCTCCAAAACAGGACCCTGTCCCTCCCACCACACCTCCCCAAAAAACCAAAAGACAAAGACAAAAACCAACCACAACAGCACCAGCAAATCCCTTTGCAAGTACTGGGCGCTGTACCTAGCCCTGCTTCGAGCCCTTTGCTTCTCCGCCGTTATTTGAGTGTTTTGCTCATGACCTAATTCTGTCTCCCCACTTGTGTGCTTTGCTGTGCCTGCTTTCTATCCGAGTTCACCTGGAGCTCTTGGAGCTCTTGCCTAAGGAAGTTTGTTTTTTTCCCTGAGTTGCATCGGCATTCACGCCTGGGGGAGGGTGGGAGGAGGGCTGGTTAGCTGCCCAGGGAAAGGCCATGACAACATTCCTAGTTATCTCCTTCTTGACCCAGTAACAAGATCCTGATAGGAGCCTCAGTCACGCGGAAACAGGGTTCCGGATGTGTGGCCCACTGCTTGGCCATCCTGGACCCAAACGTAGGGCTCTTGGCTGGGAATGTTAACATCCCGGATCCTAAAAGTCAGGATGAGGGGAAGGTCCCCACGTTCTCCAGGCCTCTGCTTTCCAGTGAGGAAGTGAAGCCCGCCCGCCCGCTTGCGCTGGGCCGTGAGAGTGGGGGGCTGGGAGCCTGGCGGGCTTCTCCCCAGCGGGACCTCTCGGAGCTGGGTGCAGCGTGCACCCCACCCTCATTTTATCTCTCTTCTCTCTCCCTTCCTCCCCTCCGCGTTTTCTCTTCTTTTTCTCTGCATGGTTTCTGTATTTAGTTCTGAGGTAAGAACTGGCCCGGCGCCTTGTGTGCAGTCCTCTTCCTTCTCTGCCTGTGCCGTCCGTCTGTCCGTCCGTCCTGCCTGCCCAGAGCCTTTGCACCTTTGTGTGGAGAGCATCAGGAGGGTCGGGTTGGGAGCTCCACCTGCAGGCTTCCCTGCCCCTTGCCGTCCAGGTTCCCTGCCCAGGTGTCTTCTCCATTCCTGTTCCTCCCCAGGCCCAGCGCCTGCAGCCGAGGCCTGTGCGGGTGGGATGCCCCCATCCCTGCCTGCTTCCCAGGCCTCTCCTCCTGTCCTCTGTGCAGTGTGGAAGTCATCCGTCTGGGCCACAGCTATTTCATCAACTGGGACAAGAAGATGTTCTGCATGAAGAAGCGGACGCCCGCAGAGGCCCGTACCACCACTCTGAACGAAGAGCTGGGCCAGGTGGAGTACATCTTCTCTGATAAGACGGGCACCCTCACCCAGAACATCATGGTGTTCAACAAGTGCTCCATCAACGGGCACAGCTATGGTAAAGTGGCACTCCTCAGGGCTGGGCTTACGACTGGCCTGGAAGGACAATGGGGCTGGGGCCCCTCAGTTGTCCTGACACTGGGTTTTCCTTCTTTCCTGTTCAGTAGGAGGGGCCTTGAAAGGGTGTGCTCCGTATGCTGTGCCCGGAATTGTACTGAGAATCCTTTCCATGCCCTTCCTTGGGAGCCCTCTCACTGATCTTAGGTCTTGCACCAAGTTATTTGACATGAGCCCCAAGACACTGGCCTCTGGGCATCTGGCCAGGGTGGACCTACCTTGGCTGCCCAGTGGAATAGAGACTCCTCCTCCCCTGTTGCTGCCAAGGGCCCTTGTGAATCTCTGGAATGTAACTCCAGTCTTCCTAGTGTGGGCCTGTCATAGCGGCTTTGAGGCTGAGCTGCTGGGATGGTGTGGGGCAGGGTGTGTGTGTAGGTGTGAGATCCTGAGCTGCTGGGATGGTGTGGGGCAGGGTGTGTGTGTAGGTGTGAGATCTGCAGTAGCTGTTTTTTGCATTAACATAGACCTCACTGCCAGGGTGTAAAGCTTTATCTGCTTTCTGGGCCTGGCAGGTGCTGGCACCCCAGCAGACCTGGAGTGCTGGGAGGGGCAGGTTGAGAGTTGGAGCTGCCCTTGCTGGAGAGCTACTGGAGGTGGCTGGGGTGGGCATGGTGAGCAGTGGGCACTGGAGCCTTGTGGCCAGGTTCCTGGACTCTGGGGTCCTGGGGACCTGCGGGATGAGTGTGGTGGCTTCTTCAGGGTGAGTTGGCCTGAGGGTCCCACAGGTCCACAGGGTCTGCACTAGAGGTTCTCCCCAGTGATGATGTGCCTTTCCTTCTGTTGGGTGTGTGTAGGTGACGTGTTTGATGTCTTGGGACACAAAGCTGAACTGGGAGAGGTAAGAGCCAGTCTCTGACTGTTCTTTATGCCAGTTAGATAGAGTCTAGGCATCCGGCTAGCACTAGCTGGCATAGTTGGGAACAGTGTGTTACCTGGACAGGAAATGGAGGACCCAGAGAAGGATTTTCAAAGAGAACTGGAGGAGGGAGGGAGTTGCTGATTGAGGCACACCTGTAATCAGCTCAGCACTGGGGAGGCGGAAGTAGGCAGATCACAGCTTTGAAGCAAGCCTGGCTTATGCAGAGAATTCCAGGCCATTCTCCCAGGCTCCACAATAAGACCCTGTTTCAAAGAAAAGGGGAAAAATCAAAATAAAGAAAGCCCAGCTAGACTTTGGAGTCCCAAGGTGGCCAGGATCTTGGCCTCTGGTACTAAGAGGTGGGAGGGTGGGACAGTCGGTTTTCTGGGGTATAGCCTGGCAGCTCCAGAGTCTTCTTGCCTGTTCCAGAGACCAGCGCCTGTTGACTTCTCCTTTAATCCTCTGGCTGACAAGAAATTCTTGTTTTGGGATCCAAGCCTCTTGGAGGCTGTCAAAATGGGGGACCCACATACACATGAGTTCTTCCGTCTCCTCTCCCTGTGCCATACTGTCATGTCAGAAGAGAAGAACGAAGGTGAGCTGAGGAGTTGCCCAGTGCACGCTCCTGGGCGCCGCTGCTCTGCCATGCGGCTTGCTGGGCGGGCGGGCGGCTGGGATGGTGGCCAGTTGTCTGCACATGCTCCTTTCCTCACCAGGAGAGCTGTACTACAAAGCTCAGTCTCCGGATGAGGGGGCTCTGGTCACCGCAGCCAGGAACTTTGGTTTTGTGTTCCGTTCTCGTACCCCTAAAACAATCACTGTCCATGAGCTCGGTACAGCCATCACCTACCAGCTGCTGGCCATCCTGGACTTCAACAACATTCGCAAGCGGATGTCGGTCATAGGTGAGGCCCGTACTAGGGAGCTGAGGAGGCTTGGGGCAGCAGAGAGGCCTGGGTAGGGAAGGTGTGCGGGAGACTTGCTCTTGATACGTTGAGTTTGGATTCTGTCTGAATGTTCTGGCTCTCCTCCCTTGTGCCATTCACAGTGCGGAATCCAGAGGGGAAGATCCGACTCTACTGCAAAGGGGCGGACACCATCCTGCTAGAGAGACTCCACCCTTCCACACAGGAGCTGCTCATCAGCACCACTGACCACCTGAATGTAGGTGTGATGGCCTGGGGCCTCTCCGGGCCTCAGCACTGTCCTTTTTATTCATTTACTTAAAATGATTTATGGATTTGCGTGTATTTCTACCTGTGTGAGGGTGTCAGAGACCCCAGAACTGGAGTTACAGACAGTGGTGAGCCGCCATGGGGCGCTAAGAATTGAACCCAGGTCCTCTGAAAGAGCGGCCAGTGCTCTTAACTGCTAAACTGTCTCTCCAGCCCCATGTTGTCCTTTTAAAAATAAATACACACACACACACACACACACACACACACACACACACACACACACACACACACA